TTCCTTCCTGTTGGTCAAGAATCATCTGGTTTTGAGTAACAAGAAACTAAAACTAGACAAGTGTAAGCATACAAGGGCATTTACTGGTTCTCATAACTAGAAGGTCTAGAAGCGTATGTGCTTTAGGAATGTTTGTATCCAGGGGCTCACGTAGGATTGTCGCTGTTCTCTAGACTTCTGTGCCCTGATTTCCTTGACGTTGCCTTGATGTTGCCTCCAGTCAAAGGTAGGCATTTCCTTCATGGTTAAAAAAAAAAAAAAAAAAAAATCAGAAATTTGTTAGTCAAGTCAGCATTTAGGGGAACTTCAGAATACTTTGAAGTCAAGTTAGTAGTCTTGATATACATTTTTCTTTTCACTGGCAACTCCTAAGCACAATCCTAAAACAGAAGTCTTAGGCATGACTTATTCTAATATTCTAATCCCCTCAGGGAAGATCTAGCCGCAGAGAGGATATACACCGCTCAGAGTAATAGCTCAGGTCGGTAGCAGACCCAGGACCATTCACTTTGGTGACAGTTGTTTCTCATGGCTAACGCGGGTCACAGATGCTCTCATACCAGAGAATGGAAGAGTGTGCAGCCAGTTCTGACAGCACCTGATTCTAGTTCTTTAATCTGAACTTAGACCAAAGCAACATGCGGGAATCAAAAATAGACGTGAATGGGAGCTTCAACACTGCCGCTTGGAACGGAGCCCTCAGAGTCTGGTCCTGAGAGGGAGTCCAGCTGGCTTTGGAGACATCCGCCATGACAGTCAGGAGCACTGGACCTCAGCCTTGCCAAGCCCCAATGTGCCAGTACTGCAGCCGCGATTCTCAAATAACACCCTCAGATTGAAGAGCATTTGTAAAAGTGGCTGATGTTGGACGCCTGGATAGCTCAGTCAGTTAAGCATCTGGGTGTTGATTTTGGCTCAGGTCACAATCTCAGGGTTGTGAGAGTGAGGCCCGCGTCGGGCTCCCTGCTCAGAACACAGTCTGCTTGAGATTCTTTCTCTCTCTGCCCCTCCCCTGCTCCCTCTCTCTCTATAAAATAAATAAATCTTTTTAAAAATGGCTGATTTCCTCAGCAGAGGTCATGTTCCCTAAAGAGACTGAAATTGTCAACCTGTTGCATGAGTCAGATAACAAGACACATTTAATATAGAGAAAGCAACAAGCTACGTAATGTGGCATTCACTGCTAGCACCAGTGATTAAACTGTGCTCATAGCATTGACTTTGACAGCATTTACTATCATCTTTATCCTGGAACTACCTCTTTCTAAAGGGAATGGGCGCCCACCTGCCACGTCTTCATCTGTCAAGCTCTTTCCAGGAAATATGAAAAGGATTTTACTTCCTCGACAGTGGGGGAATCCTGATGAATTTATGGAAATGGTTGGATAAAGATCTTTGGTGTTATAGACTTTAATTTTGAATGTCTGAGAGGTAGAAGTTATTCTGCATTTGGGCTTAATGGGAGTCTCCTGCAAGAACCACAAGGTCAAATTGCAGTGAGATGAGGGGGAGGAGTCTGGTTTGCTAGCAATATGTATGATGATGACAGTAGTTTCCTGATGGGGGTGCTGCAGAATGTGGCAGAAGTGCATTATCAAACCGGTTCTCCTCCTAGAATGCATATACCCGGGCTTTGGAAAAAAGTCCTTTTGAGTCTCCTTCAGCCTGATCCCTTCAGAATTTTATTGACTGCATATCAGGCAAGCTCCAGTGAGACGATTTTCTCTAAGCAGTATGTACAACAATGAAAAATTGATGATTTTACCATTTTTTATGTGTAGGTCCCATTTTAGTTATTCCAACTACTCACTATTTAGGTGACACAATGATGTTAGGTTTTACGATGGCTAAAATTTAGGCGCATTCTGGCTCCAAGCCCCAATATCCTATGTTCTTGTCTCTTAGCCAAGCTGACCTTCTCTTGTATGGAATAGTCTTTCTCTCCTGGCTTCAATCCCAATGGCCAGTGCATCTGGAAGCTGTACAATACAGTCTGCCAGTGAATCGGGCTATGAGTGGCTTATTTTGGACTTTGATTAATAGGCCTTTTAATTTGCCATGATGGTCAAATGAAGGCTATAATGAGGTGATCTCCCTTGTCTTGTGGGGACTGAAACTCCAGAGGATTCCCAAGTCTACTGCTCCTTCATCAAGGCTACTGGGCTCGGCATTTTGCCATGTGGAGCCAGAAGTTGGGAACACAGGCGAGGAAAGCAGGCCTTACAGAAAAAGGCTATAGCTTCCTTTCAGTGGTACTTGGAGAGTGAGAGCATCCAGTTTTGGTCACTAAGCAGGTGCCTGGCTTGGTGCCTGGCTTTCAGCAGTGGTGGTGTGGAGAGGGCTGGAAATATGGCCAGGCTGCTCCCAGCACATGGGATTCTTTTCGAGGTTTCAGAACCAAAGGAAAATTGCCAGCGTGTAGCCTGTTGACATGCTGAGTTTTGCACCACGAAACATCCTGTGCTGAAAGGGTGTTCTTTGAAGTAACAGTCTTTTTAAATTATTAGTCCTGTGCCCAAGTGGCTATCATTTTCTTAGAAATGTTACTACTCACCTTTATTTGAACGATGCTGCACTTTCAATGACCAACGGCACAAAGCTGTCAGAGCAAAAAGGAAAAAAAGAAGAAAAAAAATCAAAAAGAAAAGAAAGAATAAAACAAACAAAAAGTGACCAGCTTAAAAAGAGACCTTTCTCCATGGAGGTGAAGGCTTTTTCCAGGAATCTGGGGGGAGATAGAATTTGGAAGAAGCACCCGGACAGGTGCTCCCTGGAAAGAATTGATTTAGAAGTGTGGATGACCACAAGGTCAACCAAGAAGAGGGAAGTCAGGAATTTGGGAGGCCCAGTGCTGCTGGCTGGTTACTCTGATCTGTAATCTCCAATCTTTTGCATGCCTACACCTGGGGTGTGACATGGTGTCTAGGGCCTTGTAGATGCCCAGTGTTTGGTGTACAAAGAAGTGAAACTTTCTCGTGGAGTGAAGGTACATGACCTTGTACGGTTAACAGTTCCCAGTTCCCAGACTTCTGGTTGCTCTACAAAGATCACGCAAAGTTGAGCTGAGAAACATGATCCTGGCTGAGAAATAAATCACTTTTATGTTACCACAAATCATGCTGCATATGAAAACACACCAAACGTAGTGGCTTAACACAGCAGGTGTTTGTTTAGCTGATGATTTGGAGGGTGGAACATTTAAGTTGGCCCCAGTGGGGGAGGTCATATGGTCTAGGCTGGGTTCCCGCGGGGGCTTGGTTTCCTCATGTGGGGGACAGGTAGGCGGCTTCCGGAGGTTAGCTGGATGTCAGCAGGGAAGTGGGGGTTGCCTGGCTTTCATTCTCCATTCTGCTTGCATGTTCACCTGACAGCACCAGGGTTCTGAGCAAATGCTGTAGAATGACTGTGTCCTTCCCCAGACTTACTTGGATGAAATACTATCTTCCAGCGGGATGGTGCTAGGAGAAGAGGCCTGTGGTCTGTGACTGGGTCACAAGGGCAGAGTCTTCCTGAATGAGATGAATGCCTTCATAAAAGAGACCCCTTCCCTGATGAGAGGACACAGTGAGGAAGTGCCTGTCTCTGAATCTGGAAGTGGACTCTAATCGGACTAAGTGGACTCTAATCTTATTATTGACACTCTAATCGGACCAACACCTTGGCCGACTGAGAGAAACAAACGATTGTTTTTTGAGAACCCCAGTCAATGGTATTCTGTTGGAGCGGCGCAAATGGACTAAGAGAGTAGGCAACAGACAAGTTTTTAAAGGCCTAGATCAGAATGGGCAAGAGCATCCCTTCTAGCACATTCATAAGCCATCCCAGATTCAAAGGATGGAGAACTAGCCTTCATCTTTTGATAGGACTACCTGCCAACCTACACTGCAAAGGGACATAGATACAGGAAGGGAAATAACTGTGGTTATTATTTTTAAAAGCAGCTTTTTTGAGGTGTAATTAACATACCAACAAACAGCCTGTATTTAAAATGGACAATCTGAGACATTTTGACATATCCGTATGCCTGTAAAACCATCATCACAATCAAGGTTATGGACATAGCTCTCCTCCTCAAAACTTTTCTCACATTCCTTTGTAATCCTACCGTCTTTCCCCTTTCCCCATTCCCAGGTAACCCTTGATTTGCTTTCTGTCTCTATAGATTGGCTTGCCTTTTTTTTTTTTAGAATTTTATAGAAATGGAATCATAAAGTAGGTACTCTTGCCTGCCTTCTTTCCTCAGCATAATTATTTTGGGATTTATACCTGTTCCTTCCTTATTTGTGAGTGTTCATTTGTATAGATACAAGAGTTTATACATTCACCTATTAATGGGTTTGGATTGTTTTTAGTTTTTGGTTATTATAAATAAATCTGCTATGAATGTTCACATTCAAATCTTCGGAGATATACTTTCATTTTTCTTGGGTAAAAACCCAAGAGTATTTTATGTTGAAGTTTTTTGAGAAACTGTCAAACTGTTTTTCAAAGTGGTTGTCGCATTTAACACTTTTCCAGAAATGTATGAGGGTTCTTGTTCCTCTAAATCATAGTTATCTATCCCTTGTAATTGGTAACTTTTTAAATTTTTGGCTACTCTGATAGGTATGCACTGGTACCTCTTTGAGGTTTTAATTTGAATTTCCCTAACGATTAACAATGTTGAGAATCTTTTCATGTGCTTACTTCCCTCTGGTATATCTTCTTTAGAGAACTCTCTATTCAGATCTTCTGTTCATTTTTGAAAATGGGTTTTTTTTTTCTTATTATTGACTTCATTTAATTATTATTGGCTTTTCAGGGTTATTCATTTATTCTGGGTATAAATCCCCTTTCAGAAATATAATTTATAAATATTTTCTCTCATTTTGTGGCTTTTCTTTTGTTCTTTTAGCTATCTTTTAAAGAGCAAAAGTTTTAAACTTTGTTGAAATTTAATTTATCATGTTTTTCTTTTATGGATTATGTTTTTAATGCACTATCTAAAAACTCTTAACACAGTGCTCGCTTTGGCAGCACATATACTAAAATGGGAATGATACAGAGAAGATTAGCATGGCCCCTGTACAAGGATGACATACAAATTAAGGAAGTGTTCCATATTTAATAAAACAAAAAACAAAAACAAAACTTTTAACATAAAGTCACTAAGGCTTTCTCCTATGTTTTCTTCTGGAAACTTTATAGTTAATAGAATTTATTGTTTTAGATGCTACATTCATATTGAGTCAACTTTTGTATATGGTGTGAGGTATGGATAGCCGATTGTTTCAGTATTATTTGTTGTAAATATTAGACTTTCTCCATTGAACTGCCTTTGCATCTTTGTCAAAACCTAGTTGTCCATATGTGCATGCATCTCTTTCTGAATTCTATTTTGTTCCATTGAAGTACTCGTTGGTGTCCTAATACCATACTGTCTTGCTTACAGTTTTATAGTGAGACTTGAAATCAGGTAGTGTTAGTCCTTTATCCTCATTTTTCTTTTTCAGAGCTATTTTGGTTTTTTGGAATGATCATGGCTTACCTGCATGCTGGAGGAGACTTCTGCAGACCTCTGGGATGCTCTCTCAGGGCAGCTCTCTTCTCTCTGGTACTCTGTCCTTTAACTCTAACCACCCTGGTGTCCCCAGACTCTCAGCTCTGTCTCCTCAGCTCAGTCCATTATCTTCTGAAAGTTGGCCTTGCCCTATGCCATGTCCTGGAAATACTCTCAAGGTAGGAAGTGGGGGAAAATCAAAAGACTCACTTAATTTGTTTCTTGTCCCTCAAGGGTTATTGTTCTCTTTTACTTGATATCTAGTGTCTTGTAAACCATTGCTTCATAGATTATGTTTGTTTTTTGGTTGTTTCAGGATGGCGGGTACAAGTGTTACTCCATCTTGGCTGGAGTAAAGCCTCAAATATGGCTGTATTTGCAAGTAATCTCCTATAGGAGATATAAAAAATCAAGACACTAATTATTCTTGTTTTTCTATTTTGGCTTTGGTCATCGGATGAACATCTATACCTCAATGTGGAAATAGTCGTAAGACATTTTGCCCAGTAATGATTGGGTCAAAACAACAAGCTGTAATCATTCAAATTCCCTTGGAATTGAAAAGCAGCAAAGTATTTGGTAACTTGTGGGCATATGGTGTGTCTGATACAGCAGACATAACAATGTATTTCCTAGAAATGTTGCTTGCCAAGGTCAGTTCAATTCTACAATGCAAAGAGGTGTGATGTAGACTGTTCTTTGGAAAACTGAAGTAGTTCAGCCTGGAGAAGCATATGTAGTATGTGTGGTGGGGAGGAAGAAAGAGAACTGTAGGGATCAAGGGGAGTTATTTAAAGAAAAAGCTGGAACACTATGCAAAGTCTAGACATGGTAGCATAAGCAACCTTGTACACAGTGCTATGGAATTTGGATTATACTGAAGACAATGGAGAATCTGATGGATGCTAAAGAGTTTAATGATATTCATACTTTACAAACACTATTTTGGAAAAAGTGTATGGGCAATGCTCGAACAGGATTTGGGTATAATCATGCAATATGTAAGAGATTCATTAAGTGGATTCTGGAATAGTTCTACTGAGAATTGAGAAAGACTTTAGAGAAACACTAACATGGGGTTGTAGAAAAGCAGGTGAGTTTAGGAGATATTTAAGAGACAAAGTCAATAGAACTTTGGAATTGTGTAAACATATTTAGGGACTAGAACGTGATAGGGAGAGAGGAATCTGGATTTTTGACTCAAATAATGGGAGAAGTTGGAACAGTTGAACAAACAGATGAACATAGGTGGATGTTTGTGTCCACCTATGTGTGTATCAACAGACCTTCATGTGATAATTTGCTTTTTCTTAGACATTTCAATGTTATTAAGCCTCTCTCAGTTATATCGCATAAATCCAACTCATACTGGCTTAAGGAAAAAAGGAAATTTATTGGCTCTCATAATTGAAAAATCCGAGGTGTCTTTCCTCAGGTATAGCTGAATCCAGGTGTTTAGTAATCTGTAAATTGTCACTCTTCTTCTTTTGGCTCTGATTTTCTCTGTGTTGCCTCTGTTCTCTGAGAGCCTATTTTGTGTGTTTGTATATGTGTGGGGGTGGCAACTATGGCTTCCATTCTATGAGTTAAATAATCTCAAAGGAAGGAGAATGGATCTTTATCAATGGTTCCAGTAAGAGAGATGAAATGGACTCTCATTGGATCAGTCTGACTCACGTGCCCAACACTAAGTCAATCACTGTCCAGGGAGATAGATTATTCTCATTGGCCAGAATAGGATCATGTGACACCTCTAGAAATCTGAGTCAACTGCACCAGAATCATGCAGACTGAGTGTGATTCACCTGCCCACCCCTTCCAAGGAAAACTGAAGTGCTACCACAAGAATGGGACTAAATGCTGAGTAGGCAAAAACAACTCCTGTCTCCCATAATTTACTTCTAGTTCTAGAGCAGCTGCACATTTGATGAATGAAAATGCTTAACTTTGGCCACTCTTGAGATCCTGCCTCACATCTGCTTCTCCATCATGGTAGCCTGTTTTCTTGTCACTGGGAATCATGACTTCTTTCAAAGAGGGAAGACTGATGGTGTACATTGTTACCATGCCCTCCTGCAGTGGAGCTGGCTTCAGTTGATTTTCAAGCAGCTAAGGAAAGAATCCATATCCCCAGTCTGTATTCATAGTGTGAACTCAGTGTGATTAATAAAATGCCTCCTGAATAACAATGCCATATTGGCAATTATATTTATGGGATGTGCTTAGAAATAATAGAGCTGCACAGTTTCACTGAGACAGGGACAGTGAGAATCAACAGGCACCTGAGGTATCATCCAACCCAGTGTTGCTCATGCTGTCAAATTCTGATTGTTTATAACATTGCTTTCTCTACTCCATGTGAGAGCATTTTATTCAGATGTTTGCATGGATTCAAGAACCTCTGTTGATGGTTTTCTGCCACTTTGGGAACCTTGATCTCATTCAGCCATCTTCATTTTGACAATTAAGGAAATTAAAAGAAATTGGTAATGAAGAGAAGTGATTTACACAGAGTCACATGGAAGAGCTAAAACAAGAACCTGTGTCCGTTGGACTCTTCTAATTTTGAGGTTTTTCCACGACAGTTGACCCTTGAACAAGGCAGGAGTTAAGGAATCCATCCTCCCAGTCCCACACAGTTGAAAATCCACATATAACTTTTAACTCCCCCAAAACTTAACTACTGGTAGCTTACTGTTGACTAGAAGCCTTACTGATAACATAAATAGTCGGTTAACTATTATATGTATATATATTATGTCCTGTTCTTACCATAAAGTAAGCTAGGGAAAGAAATTGTCATGAAGAAAATCATAAGGAAGAGAAAATAGTACTGTACCATGCTTATTGAAAAAAATCTGCATGTAAGTTGATCTATGCAGTTCAAATCCATATTGCTCAAGGGTCAACTGCATATCAGGCTAAACCTGTTGCATGTTCCGTTGATACAGAAAGACTTGGTATTCTAAAAAATACCGACATTTAAGAGGAATTGCTAGAGCAATTTTTAGGCAAGTTAGACTTTTTCATTGTGTTGCTTTATGTCCACTTTTTAGAGGAAACCCATCCTTGCCCTCCATGTTTAATAAAAAGGGAAAGGGACCTGTCATGTGTTGAACAGTTACTCTGAAGTTCTTTAAACCGCCTGACCATCTGTCAAGGAGCTAGTGTGATTGTCATTTTATAGGTGATGGAAGGAAGCTCAGAGAGATTGGAAATTGCCCAAGTTTGCACAGCCTACAATGGGGAGGGCTTACCAATCATCATGGCTGTGCCTTGTTTGTTCTTTAATGAACATTTTCTACAGGTAAGCAAGGACACTTCAAAGATGCTGAAAAGGTCATTGGCTGTTGTTTATTTACTAGACTGTCAAGGTGACATGTAAGCAATAATAGTAACAACAATAAAAATAATTTATAGCACTACATTCTTCAAGGTAAGAATATGCACTTAACCTTTCAGACCTTCAAAAAAGGAGGAGGAGGGGGTGGGAGGAGAAGGAGGAGAAGAAGAAGAAAAAAAAGCTTGCACCTAACCGTTCAGACCTTCAAAAAAGTAGAAGGAAGATGAGGAAGAGGAAAAAGAGGAGGAGGGGGATGGGAGGAGGAGAAGAAGAAGGAGGAAAAAAAGCATGTCCTGGCTTCTAGGGGCTGTTGACTTTCTAAGAACCTCCTCCCCTTTCAGCCAATGCAGAGATCAGCAATCCATAGCCTAAAGGTCATACTCAGTCTACTGCCTGTTTTTATAAACAAAGATTTATAGGAACACGTCCATATACATTCATTACCTATTGTTCATGGCTGCTTTTGTGCTACAATGGCAAATTTGAGTATTGCTGATGGAAACTGCATGGTTTACAAAGCCGAAAATATTCACTACCTTGCCCTTTGCAGAAAAGGTTTGGTGACCCCTGGGCTAAAGGAATGGTTTGCAAACTGTATTCTCGAGAGATTTATTAGTTCACTAAAATAGAACTCAAAAGTCTCTTTCACTAGGCATGGGTGTCAGTGTACAAGGTTATTGGGGCCTAATTTACCTCAAACAGAGCAGGTCCGCTTTCATCTGTATTGCATACTGAGCTTTCACAGTTGAATCTGTGTTAGGTCAGGTGACGGACTGGAGACATTAGGTCAGATTCCTGGAGAGTCCTATAAATGTTTGTTTAACTGCTGACCCTGGGAGGAAAGTCCAGGTGCCTGTGAAAAGTAAATTTGAGTATTTGGCACTTTTTTTTTTTTTTTTTGTAACAATGAGAAACAGAAATTCTTCTGCCTAATACAAAAAAAAATTGTATTTACTTGAGAATCAGAGGCTTCTGAGTGTAATTGTACTGGGTGTTTTCCTTAGGAAATATGCCCTCCAATGGCAAAGTTTGGGTGGATGATAAAAATGGTCTATAAAATAGGGTCTATAAAAATAATGTGTTAGAATGGATATTTTGGTTGTGGAGAGTTTGATCATGCAGGAAGTCCCTGAGGCATATTACCAAAGCACTGGAAGTCTGAGATCATTGTTCATAAGAGCAATAATAACAATGGGTACCATTTATATAGCATTTACTCTAGAAA